CAGAACACTCAACAGCAGCACCCCCAGAACCAACAACCCCAGAGCGAGAACCCCCTCCAACACCAGCGGCACCCCCAGAAGCCGCAGGACGAACACCCTCCTCCACACCAGCACCCCCAGGGGCCGAGAGCAGCGGCGGCAGTGGCGGCAACGGCTGCGGCGGCGGCGACAGCGGCGACGGCTGCGGCAGCGACAGCGGCGGCGGCGGCGACGACAGCGGCGACGGCTGCGGCGGCGACGGCGACGGCGGCGGCAGCGGGGTCGGCGACTGCGACAGTGGGGGCGGAGGCACCGGGGAAGGGGGACGCGGCAAGGACGGACCGGGGGTACCACCAGAGTCAGCAGACTCCTCAACGGGGACAACCGACGGGAGGGGAGTGACGTGGGAGACACCAGACGGGGCAGGACGAGGCGGGAGAGGGGCAGGGGCTACCGGGGGAGAGGGAGCAAGGAAAAGGGGGGGGGCAACTGGGAGACCTCGGTGAGGGAAGCGGCGGTAGAAGGAGACGGACTCGTCAAAGGTGACGTCACGAGAGTGGAGGAAGCGGTGAGACGGCGGGTGGTAGAAAAGCCAGTCAGACGAGTCCAGGGGGAAACCGAGGAAGACACAGGGGACAGTGCGGGCAGTGAGCTTGTCCGTGCCAGAGGCACGAACGTGAGCAAGGCAGCCCCAGACGTGGAACGCAGACGCGTCACCGGGGGACCCGGTCCAAAGGAGGGTCGGCGAAACCTGCGGCCGCTGGGAGCGTGGCCACAGGTTAAGCTGGTGAGCCGCGTAGCGAACAGCGAACGGCCACAGAAAATGGGGGGCATCGGCATGGATCATGGAGGTACGGGCGACCTCCATGACCAAGCCGATGCGGCGCTCAGCAACCCCATTCTGCTGTGGCGAGTCCGGCAACGTGTACGACTGGGTGATGCCCTCCGCACGACAGAACTGTCCAAGCCGACCAGAGGCGAACTCGCCGCCACGGTCGGAGTGGAGACACAACACGGGGAGATCGCGGTGGAGACGCGCAGCCACAACCCACGGGAGAAGCACGTCGGGCACGTCGGCCTTCCGCTCCAGGGGAAACACCGTGGTGTAGCGCGTGTAGTCGTCGACGAGCACAAGGAAGTAGCGCTCACCTCGCGGTCCGGGGACGGGGGCAGGGCCCCAAACGTCCAAGTGCAGGGTCTGAAGGGGGGCAGTAGCAGGACGCAGCGAGGAGGAGTGAGGAGCACGGCGGAGCCGACCCTCGACGCAAGGCGTGCACGGTGGCGCAGTCGAGGGAGGAAGGGCAGGGAGCGACGCGGGGAGACCTAAGACAAGACCGTGCTGGGACATGTGACGCAGACGCGGGAGAGCAGGGTGACCTAAGCGGTGGTGCCAGAGAAGGGAGGGGTGAGTGAGGGACCGACACGAGCAAGCTGCAGCGACCTGGGAGGACGCACCAACCGGGGGGGAAGCGGTGTGTAGGGTAAACAGACCGGACACCGGGTCCCGGGGGAACGTCGCAAGGGGGGAACCTGAGACAGCCTCAGAACAGACAGCGAACCGCTCGTGCCCGGGGAACGTGGTGGTGACGCCGAGGTCCTGGAGACAGCCGACACCAACCAGGTTCCTGGAGAATGAGGGAACGTGGAGGCCAGTAAGGGAGCCCGAGGGAACTGCCGGACAGGGAAGGGACGTAGAACTGCGCGCGACGACCGGACCCGCAGAGGGGTCAGCGAGAGAGACAACAGCAGGTGCAGCAAGCGGCGTGAGCGTGGAACGGTCGCGGAAGAAGCAGGCAGAAGCACCAGAGTCGAGAGTGAAGGACAGCGACGCAGTGGCGGAGGCCGGGGACGGAGCCGGTGCAGCGACTAGACTAGGCAACCTAGGCAGTCCTACGCCTGTCGCAGCAGGGGAAGCTAAGCTACACAAGGGTGAAACACCTAAACTAGAGTACACAGGGTAGTAAGATCCAGCAACACTAGAAGCGTCAGCATACAAAGCATGCAAAGCAGCACCTATCTGATCCATGTCTAACTCAAAGATCGGCACGCCCTGGCGGAGCAGGCTGTGCCAGTCAGGGAGGTCCGGGGCCGGGCCAAAGCGACGACGAAAAAGATCGTCGAGGCGGCGGAAACAGCGGGCGGTCGGGTGCGGGCGGCGGCACAGAGTGCCGCGGAGAGGCCCGGTCTGAAGCTGGTACTGGCAGGTCACAGCACTGGAGCCGCTGGTAGACGCCAAGCTGCGCGGGCCGCCACCACGGCCACCACCTCCGGAGGTGCCGGGCCAACCAGGCGGGAGACGAGCCCACGGCTGCGGCGGGTGCTGCTGGGACGGCGGCTGCGGCTGGGGCTGGTCCTGCTGCTGCTGGGGCTGCTGCTCCTGCCCACCGGTGGTAGTCCCCTCAGGCGGACTACCGTCACCACCACCACGACCACTACCACCTGCGTCACCACCCCTACCTCCCTGGCAGCCACGGCCACCGCGACGCGAGCGCTGCTGCGGGTGGACAGCAGCAGCCGTCTCGGTAAGAGGGGTCGCCGTGGCGACCGCAGCCGAAACGTCAGTGAACGTGCACTGGGATGGGGCACAGCCGTGAAAGATAGAGACTGCCGGCGCACCGCTCGACTGAGCGATAGTGCGCTGGCGAGTCTCGATCTCAGTGAGGGTGTCGACAAAGGCGGTCAGGGTGAGGTCACCCGGGTGCTGGCTAAGAAAGTGGTCGCGAGCACTAGCGAGGCGGTCTGGCAGGCGCATAGCGATAAAATAGAGCGTCATGCAGAAAGGAGGGGGGAGCGCAGTGAGCTGGGCAGCAGTGCTGGCAGTGCGATAGCGAGTCTCTAGGGCACGCAAATGAGTGGCAAAATCTGCGACAGTAGGGAAGGCAGCCAGGTCTGGGAACAGCATCGGAAAGAGCAAGCGGCCAGCAGAAGCGGAGGCAGGGGTGGAATAGTGAGCAATAACGGCGTCTAAATAAGCTTTGGCCGTTTCAACAGTAGCAAAACGCGAGCGCTCAGACACAGGGAGGGCGTGACTAATAGCAACCTGAGCTACTGCATCGCGTGAGTCCCAGACCGCACAGGCCAGCGCAGCAGTAGAGAAAGCCTCACGGTCATCAGAGGAGGGGTCAGCAGGGAGGGGAGTAGGTGCAGGGGGACGGGGGAGCAAGCCATCAGCATGGACAACCAGAGAGTGGCCATCTTGGCGCTGACCTGTAAGCTGGCGGCGAAGATCGGAGAGCCAGGCGGCGAAGTCAACCGCGTGGCCCTCAGCGTCCAGGCGGAGCACAAAGTCAGCCATCGTGCAGGGTCAGCGGCACAGCTCCTCAGCGACACAGCGGCACAGCAGCACAGCTCCTCAGCAGCACAGGAGCACAGCGGCGCGGGGACACGGCGGCAGCACTCTCCAGTAGGGCAGCAGCTAGGCGTCCCAGCGCAGGCAAGCAGAAGACACAGGGCCCGAGAGGACACGGCAGGCCGAGGAGGGGAGGCGGGCAGGTGCTCTGGGGCCGGGCTGGTGCTGGGAGGGGCCAGGCTGGTGCTGCTGGGGCCGGTCGGGCACGAGGAGGGGCCGGGCAGCGCTGAGGAGAGGCCGGGCGGCGCTAGGAAGGGGCCGGGCGGCACTAGGAGGAGGCCGGGCGGCACTAGGAGGAGGCCGAGCGGCACTAGGAGGAGGCCAGGCGGGCGAGCGCTAACAGCAGGCGCGACAGGGGCCAGTGGGCGCGACGGGGCCTAAGGGGCGCGACGGGGCCCAGCGGGCACGACGGGGCCCAGGGGGGGCGCGACGGGGCCGAGGAGGCGCGACGGGGACCAGCGGGCACGACGGGGCCCAGGGGGGCCGCGACGGGGCCTAACGGGCGCGACGGGGCCCAGGGGGGGCGCGACGGGGCCTAGCAGGCGCGACGGGGCCTAGGAAGCGCGAAGGGGCCCAGCGGGCGCGACGGGGCCTAGGAGGGGCGCGACGGGGCCGAACGGGCGCGACGGGGCCCAGAGGGGGGGGACGCGACGGGGCTTAGGAGGCGCGACGATGCCTAGGAGGCACGACGGGGCTCAGCGGGCTCGACGGGGCCCATGGGGGGCGCGACGGGGCCTAGGAGGCGCAACGGGGCCCAGCGGGGGCGCGTTAGGGCCTAGGGGTCGCGACGGGACCCAGCGGGCGCGACGGGGCCCAGGGGGAGCGCGACGGGGCCTAGGAGGCGCGACGGGGCCCAGCGGGCACGACGGGGCCCAGGGGGGGCGCGACGGGGCCTAACGAGCGCGACGGGGCCCAGGGGGGGCGCGACGGGGCCTAGGGGGCGCGACGGGGCCTAGGAGGCGCGACGGGCGGAAGCGGTAGGCGGGGGGATCCTAACCTAAGCGTGATACCATGTTAACGTAGAAACGAATGATTACTAGAGGTGGAAACCTAGAACAAATACTAGTTGGTTGTACTCACTAGAAGCATACCTCAGTCTAGCCTATAACTTCTACATAGATAATATGTATAAGTTGACACATTCCCCTATGCAGTCTAGGGGGTGTGTCAAACATGTGTATTTGTTATGTTTGTATAGACTGTATAGGGTCACCTCTTAGAGGGTACAATACTTATGTATATCTATCTGTACTCTCCCTCTACCCAATCATTCACTTCTCTCAGTTTGATACTTTATAACTCTCCGAAAACAAAATAAACGGATTGCCGAAATGCTATTGGTTGCGTGAGAGTACGAGCCGATGTGGGCTCGACGTGAAATATATTTGATAGCCTGGCGCTTCGTACAGTCCCCCTGCGACAATTGTCGCATGCGACGTGGGCCTCGCTGATTTCCGCAGGGGGAGTTCAAGAGGGACCCCCCTCTGCTATTCCTGTTTTTTCGCGGGCTCGCTGGGTAAAAATCAAGGGGGGCCCCACTTGATGTCCAAGTGGGGCCCAATTCGACGTGGCAGGGCAGCCCACGAGGCGTTACGCTGTACGAAATTCGCAAGGCAGAAATCTGCCAATTGGAGGTGTTCTGAGTATTGAATAGTGCGGGCTGCTGCCCAGCTCCGAATAAAAAAAAGGTCCTCGACACAAAAGGGGCCCTGATCAAGAGGGGTCCCAACTTGATAACCCCTCTGCTATTTTGCTTTGGGGTTTTAAGTGTTCAGATTTTGACCACCCTGAAAATTAAGGGTTGGCTGAAAAACCTACCGTGTGTTGTACCCTCTACAGTAGGATTCAGGAATTGTAGCACACCTACCAAGCCTACACAAATATATATATATATATAAAATATGTAATTTGACAAGCTGGCCCCCCGTCTGACCCAGCAGAGCGAGCCCACCGCTGCCTCCTTGGCGATGGGTGCTTCGCATAGGTCCGCCACGTGATGAGCAGCCCCATGTGTGCGCAGCATGTCCAAACAATGCTGCCCCCTAGTGTCACTCGGCATTTATAACCCTCCCCCACTTATTTCTACATGATGCCAGCCCGTCACATGATGTCGAGGTGCATGTGAGGGTAGCCTGCCTGGGCCCTGTAGTCGAGGAAGAGGCGCTCCAACGCACTCACGTACTCCGCATGCACCGCCGCCACCTGCCACGGGGGGAGGGAGGAGAGGCGAGAGAGACGAGCGGACATTAGCGCACTCAAATACTCAGAGTGCAACACCGCCACCTGCAGGGGGGGCGGGAGAGGGGGGGGGGAGGGGAGGGGAGGGGAGACGAGGCATGAGAGACAAGCGGACATAAGCGCACTCACACCTAGAGTGCACCGCCACCATCTGCGGGGGGGGGAGGGGAAAGAGGAGGGGAGGGGAGGGGAGGGGAGGAGAGGGGAGGATGTGGGAGAGTGGTGCATGGGGAAGACGGGAGATCAAGCTACCCACGCACTCACATACTCCATGTGCACTGCCGCTACCTGCAGGGGGGGAGGGGAAGGGAGGGAAAGGGGAAGGAAGGGGAGGGGAGGGGAAGGGGAGGGGAGGGGATGGCATGGGATGGGTGCATGGCGGGAAACTGAGGGATGAGAAGAAGAGACATCAAGGTACCTGCACTCACACACCCACGTGCACTGCTGCCACCTGCACTCCTGAGCACGCACCCATGCACCCATGCTGTCGAATGACCCGCTGGGGTTACCCTTGAGAAGATCCTCAGGGAAGGGCCACAGGTGCAGAGCCTAGGGGGCTATGGGCGCACTGACCCGCTATTAACAAGCCCTTTTAACTCGGTGGTTAGTGGCTGAGTTCTGACACATGCACCCATGCACCCATCCACCCATGCACCCACGCACCCATGCACCCATGCACCCATGCACCCATGCACCCATGCACCCATGCACCCATCCACCCATGCACCCACGCACCCATGCACCCATGCACCCATGCACCCATGCACCCATGCACCCATGCACCCATGCACCCATGCATCCATGCACCCATGCACCCATGCACCCATGCACCCATGCACCCATGCACCCATGCACCCATGCGCCCATGCACCCATGCACCCTTGCATCCATGCACCCATGCACCCATGCACCCATGAACCCATGCACCCATGCACTCATGCACCCATGCACCCATGCACCCATGCGCCCATGCACCCATGCAACCATGCAACCATGCGCCCATGCGCCCATGCACCCATGCACCCATGCGCCCATGCACCCATGCGCCCATGCACCCATGCATCCATGCACCCATGCACCCATGCGCCCATGCACCCATGCACCCATGCACCCATGCGCCCATGCGCCCATGCACCCATGCACGCACCCATGCACCCATGCACCCATGCACCATGCACCCATGTACCCATACACGCAACCATGCACCCATGCACATACCCATGCACGCACCCATACACGCACCCATGCACCCATGCACCAATGCATACACCCATGCATGCATGCTAGTCAGAAAACAATGGGCCAAGACCCCAGAGGGCGGAGAGTTACTAGCAGCTATGGAGGGCATGGCGTTCACCCATGGAGGGCACAGCCTTCACCCATGGTGGGCATGGCCTTCACCCATGGTGGGCATGGCCTTTACCTGTGTGTCCCGCCGGTAATCATCCAACCAAAATCAACGGCCTTCTGCCGACCTGGTCGGTGGCTTGCACATTGGGCGCATTGTTGAGCTGCGACCGAGAATGTGATGAACTGACCCTTTCTTCTGAGGGGTTGAGGTCGGGGTCCCCTCCTCCGATGGGCGTGCCGAACACGATGGTCATGGGCGTGCGCAGGGGGATGGGCGACCCCCACATGCCCCAGAAGAGGATCGGAGCAAACCCCATGCGCCGCGCCACCGCCCGGTACCATGCCCCCCCCGGCTTCCACCAGTGGTACGCAGTGGTCTGTTGGGGGGGGGGGGGGGGAGAGAGACGGGGGGGGAAAGGGAAGGGTTGGGGTTGAAACAAGGAAAGAGGAGAATGAGTGGCGTGCTGTGTTCCATGTCCCCTGGGGCTTCCCCCAGCGGTACGCACTAGTCTGGAAATGGAGGGGCGGAACAACAAGGGGATGAGCGGAACAACAAGGGGATGGGCGGAACAACAAGGGGATAGGCGGAACAACAAGGGGATGGGCGGAACAACAAGGGGATGGGCGGAACAAGGGGATGGGCGGAACAACAAGGGGATGGGCGGAACAACAAGGGGATGGGCGGAACAACAAGGGGATGGGCGGAACAACAAGGGGATGGGCGGAACAACAAGGGGATGGGCGGAACAACAAGGGGATGGGCGGAACAACAAGGGGATGGGCGGAACAACAAGGGGATGGGCGGAACAACAAGGGGATGGGCGGAACAACAAGGGGATGGGCGGAACAACAAGGGGATGGGGGGAACAACAAGGGGATGGGCGGAACAACAAGGGGATGGGCGGAACAACAAGGGGCAACAAGGGGATGGGCGGAACAACAAGGGGATGGGCGGAACAACAAGGGGATGGGCGGAACAACAAGGGGATGGGCGGAACAACAAGGGGATGGGCGGAACAACAAGGGGATGGGCGGAACAACAAGGGGATGGGCGGAACAACAAGGGGATGGGCGGAACAACAAGGGGATGGGGGGAACAACAAGGGGATGGGCGGAACAACAAGGGGATGGGCGGAACAACAAGGGGATGGGCGGAACAACAAGGGGATGGGCGGAACAACAAGGGGATGGGGGTTGGAGCCGCGCAGCAATGGTTGTAGGGCCGTGTACCATGCCCCCTGTGGCCCACACCAGCGGTACGCACTGGTCTTGGGGGTGGGAGAGGGGGGCAGGAGGTGGGGAAGAGGCGTACCGTGGCAAAGAGAGCGAGAAGTGCTTTGGAAAGAGGAGGAAGAACCAGGTGAGCAAGTGCGAGCAAGTGTACTGCCACCACGTGCACCACGAGAGGCCGGCACATCAATGGATCCGACCTCTCAATCTGAAGCGGAACCTGACGTTTCATGTGGCGCTGGCAGAAGACCAGGCCCCAGAAAACCAGGTGGGAGGACGGCAGGCCACACCTGGCCGAAGACGAAGCAGGGCACCACGGGGACCCCCTGCTCCAGCGCCAGGCGGATGAAGCCAAAGCGGCTGCGGACGAACGCCACCTGGGGGATGGGGGGTAAGGGGCATGAAGAAAAGGGGAGGAGAGGGGTCGTACTCAGAGGCGGGGAGGGGTGAAGCTATGTTGGAAAATACGCGTATTGCGTTTTGTACGCCAGCGTATATACGTAAGCGTTTATACGCAATACGCTTGGAAAGGGGGTATGCGGTACGCACGAAATACGGAGGTTCGGGCAGGGGAAAAAATATTGCGGGCAGGAAAATTTGTCGTGCTAGGAGGAGTGGTAGGAACGGGTCAACATTTCTCCTGGCGAGCTTAGAACAACGGCGCGAGAACTAAGGGAGGGAGCTTTGCTAGAGAGTTACGACGCGAAATTGGGTTAGGTGCTGCTCCTCTGCGTCAAGACTCTGGTGAGTCGTCAATCGTCATAAAGCAGAAAGGTTGGGAAAGGGAGGTGATGTGAGATTGAATGCGGTAGGGAAGCTTTTTGGGATTGGAGTTCAAACCACAATTGGTTGGGTTGGAAACGTATGGAGAGATTGAATGCGGTGGGGAAGCCTTTTGGGGTTGGACGTTCAAGCCACAAACTCAATTCGAGTTTGCGATGTGCCGCTTTTGTCGTCAGCCCCCAATTCCGCGCAGTTGAATTGGTGATGCGCGAAACCCCTGTTTTTTTCGCCTAGTCGCGACCTGTCGCAGGAAAACTTTTTTTCCGCGGTCAGCCCGTGCGTTTTTCGGCGAATCTCCACCCAAAACGCAGCGTACGAATTTTACTCGCGTATAAACGCAAAACGCAAAACCAAATCTGCGTTTTTTCCAACATAGGGGTGAAGGGAAGGGGGAGAGGGGTTTGAAGAGAGGGGAGCAAGAGCAAGTTGGGTGAGACGAGGGGAGCAGGCAGACGAGGGTGGGCACGGAGAGACAAGAACGGGGTGCAGAATAATTTGCACCACGCCTCCTCCTCTCACACGCCACCTTCGCCCCTCACACGCCACCTTCGCCCCTCACACGCCACCTTCGCCCCTCACACGCCACCTTCGCCCCTCACATGCCATCTTCGCCCCTCACACGCCATCTTCGCCCCTCACACGCCATCTTCGCCCCTCACACGCCATCTTCGCCCCTCACACGCCATCTTTGCCCCTCACACGCCATCTTGGCCCCTCACACGCCATCTTTGCCCCTCACACGCCACCTTGGCCCCTTTCCCACATGCGCGCCCCCCGCGCTGACCTCCTTGCCGGGCGCCATGAAGATGCACTCCTGCACGCCGCCGGGGATGATCACCACCGTGCACCCGCGCCTCAGCAGCCCCATCAGCACGGGCCGTGTGGCGGGCGCGGTGCGCACCCACTGCCAGAACTGCCTTAGCAGCGGCACGCGGAAGAGAGCGGAGGTGGCACCGGCATAGCCGTGAACGAACATGGGGTGGCACATGAGCGCCGCCAGCCCGATGGGCAGCACCGAGTGCGGCTCCAACCCCACCACTGGGGGGGGGGGGAGAGACCGAGGGCGGTGGGGAGGAGGGGAAGGAGGGTTGGACGGCAGTTGATGCAGTGAGGTGGCCCACTGACACCCCGCTGCTCCTTGCACAAGATGGACTTAACGTTTACGTGTACGTCTGTTTACGTTACGTTTACGATTTTCTAAAAACCAGTTTAAGTTTCCGGGCAGAGATTTCCCTTTTAGGCTGCCTAAGAGTCCCCCTGGTATGGAGATGGTATTCCACTCACTTTACCGTTCTTGGGGAACTCCTGATTGCTTGGGCGGACATTTCCGCTTTTGTCATAGCTTTGTAACTGTCGATTGCATGCTGGGGGGAAATCGGTCAGCGTGTGATTTGCCGACCGAGTTAAATGTGTCGCAGGTTTGACCATGATGTTGGAGAGGGTAGGTGACTCAACAATTAGCCAGTCAACGCCATCTCTTCAACAACCTCCCCTCCCCTTCCCATTGCACGCACTCATTTTCCCCAGCAACCCCCTCCCTATGCTTGTCGAGCTTCTCTAGGTTTTGCAATTTCCTATTGTTTGCGACTTTGTCGCCAACTACTACGCACCTAACTCACCTACGTAAAGGTTCCCTTAGGCAATCCCTTTGGGTCTGCCATTCGACCACTGTCTTCGCCCCCCTCCCGCCCTCACCCCCCCGGGTATGAGCGCTAGTGCTAGCTCTGTTTGATTTTTTTTTTGGTTCTTTTAATAATATTTCCCCCAAGTTTTTTTCCGTCCGCCCAATGTAAAAACGTAAACGAGACGTAAACGTAATTATTTACGTCATATTACGTGTACGTGACCTGAATAAACGTAATTGACCAACTGTGCCACAGTCCAACCACGCCCTGCCCCCCATCCTCCCCCGCCTCCTCACCTCTCTCTCACAAGCGCACGTTCATCCCCCACCCCAAAGAGCACATTCGTCTCTCCCCCCCCCCCAAAGCGCACATTCCTCCCCCCCAAAGAGCACATTCATCCCCCTCCCCCCTCCCCCCCAAAGAGCACATTCATCCCCCCCCTCTCCCGCCAGGAGCGCATTCATCCCATGCCAAGCGCCCCCCCGCGGTGCACCGTAGGGCTTGCCGAAGGTGATGGCGCTCTGGTCGCGGAAGAGCACGCGCACGGGGAAGTGGCGCAGCACCACCGGGTAGATGAACCTGCGCGCACGCCGCACAGGGGACGGGGCACGGGGGACGGGGGACGGGGAACGGGGGACAGCGGACGGGGAACGTGGGACAGGGGACGGGGAATGGGCACACAGGGTATGGGCCGCGGGCCATGAGCGGGCCGCGGGCCGCGGGCCATGAGCGGCGATGAGCGGATGGCGATGAGCGGATGGAGGGGGCGTGTGGCGCGAGGGAGTGGGTTTCGGTGGGAGGGTGGCGGGGCGACGAGCCCGCAGATGGGGCAGTGCGCGCCATTCTCGGGGGCGAGATGGGACGGGCGCGAGCGGAGAGGAGGAAGACCGGGCAGGGAGACGCTGGCGCGCGAATTCGAAGCGAAACCGAAACGGAGGCTGACCCAACGCGCGGCGGAGCTTCTAAAGCGGAGCCGAGACGGAAAGCGGGCGAGGGTGAGCGGACCTGCGGTACGCCTTGGCGACGGGCCCCTCCACGTCGACGGGCGTCACCGAGAGCGTGGCGAGCAGCAGCAGGAGCGCGAGGGCGAGGGGGTGAGGGAAGGTGAGCGCGATGAGGAGGAGGAGGAAAAGCAGGATGTGCATCCACCCCATCCACAGCACCAGCGCCACCCAGTCCACCGCCGAGTGCCGCGACAGCACTGGTGCCGTGCCGCCCTCCCCTCTCGCCATGGTAGCACCGGCTCCTCCTCCGCTGTCGCCCCGCGCATCCGCGCCATTCCCACTCAGTTGCGCCGCCATGTGCGTACTGCTGTGCGCACTGCGAGCAGCGCGGGCTGCAACCCTGATTTCTCGAATCTCGAGCTGCCTCGTCCTCATGAAAAGCAAATCCGCGTCCTCCGAAATGATTTTGATGTGTTACATCAACTGTTAAAACAAGTTGCATTCGACTAACCATGAGTCATTTCATGCGAAAAGACAAGAGACTAAACATTCGTCTTAGGGTTGCAGAGCGTCTTTTTATAATCAAACAGTGGATTTTTATAAATGTTTGATCCCAATCCGATCCCTATAAGCCAGGCAAAAAAATGCATGAAAATCCGAATACCGGGGCGCTTTTCAGGGTAGCATACTTGACCAGCCTTTGGATTTGGCCAATCCTAATATTCATGTGTTCCTGTTATTTTAGGAACAAAAAAGGTATGCTCGTGTTTTCGCGAGACTGACGGGCCAACCTTTATGAAATTTCGGCTTGAGACAATCTCCCCCCCACACCCCTATCTCAAACCCCCAACAAAGTCCTGTCAAACATGAGTATATCTAGTGTTTGTACAGACTGTATAGGGTCACCTCTTAGAGAGTACAACCCTTAGATGTGTATACTTGTACCCAAGTACTCTAGTCATTCATTACTCAGTTCTAAGATGGTATCAGCAGTAGGTAGGTCCCGCCGCCCGCCCATGCTTCCACCCTAGGCCCCAGCCGCCCGCGCGCCCGTCCTAGTCGACCTCGCACCCGTCCTAGCTCCACCCGCGCGCCCGTCCTAGCTGCGCCCGCCGCGCCCGTCCTACCGGCCCTCGCGCCCGTCCTAACGGCCTGCGCGCCCGTCCTACCGGCCCCCGCGCCCGTCCTAGCTGGCCCCGCGCCCGTCCTCACGGCCCCCGCGCCCTTCCTAGCCGGCCCCGCGCCCGTCCTAGCTGGCCCCGCGCCCGTCCTAACGGCCTCCGCGCCCGTCCTAGCCGGCCTCGCGCCCGTCCTAGCTGGCCCCGCGCCCTTCCTAACGGCTCTCGCGCCCGTCCTAGTCGGCCCCGCGCCCGTCCTACCGGCCCTCGCGCCTGTCCTAGCGGCCCCCGCGCCCGTCCTACCGGCCCCCGCGCCCGTCCTAGCCGGCCCCGCGCCCGTCCTAGCGGCCCCCGCGCCCGTCCTACCGGCTTCTGCGCCAGTCCTAGCAGGCCCTCGCGCTCGTCCTACAGACCCCCGTGCCCGTCCTACAGACCCCCGCGCCCGTCCTAGTAGCCCCCACGCGCGTCCTAGCTGGCCCCCGCACCCGTCCTACAGACCCCCGCGCCCGTCCTAGTAGCCCCCGCGCCCGTCCTACCGCCCCCCCCCCCCCGCGCCCGTCCTAGCTGGCCCCCGCGCCCGTCCTACAGGCCCCCGCGCCCGTCCTAGCCAGCCCCGCGCCTGTTCCAGGCCCGTCCTATCCGTCCCCCCGCCCGTCCTACAGGCCCCCGCGCCTGTCCTATCCGGCCTCGAGCCCGTCCCAGGCCCGTCCTCGCTGGCCCGGCGCCACCCGCTACTGGCCCCCCCCCGCGCCCGTTCTGCCGACCCTTGCGCGCGCCCTGCCCGTCGATCTCCGGCCCCGTGCTCACCTTCCCGCTGGACTGCCGCCGATCTGCGTGTGGCCCGCTCTCCGTACCTGCTACTGCACTGCACCCTCCCTGGTATGGTTCTCCATCACCTTGCACCGCACTGCACCCCTCTGCACCGCACGGTACCACGCTGCACCGCACTGTACCCTGTACCCTATCCCCTCGTTCTCCAGGAACCTAGTTGGTATCGGCTGCCTCCAGGACCTTGGCGTCACCACTACGTTCCCTAGTCACGAGCGGTATGCTGTCTGTACCGAGGCCGCCACTGGTGCCCCCCTGTCGACGTTCCCCCGGGACCCGGTGTCCGACCTGTTCACCCTGGACACCGTGACCCCCCCGGCTGGGGCGTCCCTCCAGGTGGCTGCGTCTATCCAGGTTGCTGCTGCCTGCTCCTGTCTGTCCCTCACTCACCCGACTCTCCTTTGGCACCACCGTCTAGGTCACCCTGCGCTCCCGCGTCTGCGTCACATGTCCCAGTACGGTCTCGTCCTTGGTCTCCCTGGTTCGTTCCCCGCTTTTCCCTCCTCCCCCGCCCCACCGACACGCCTTGTGTCGAGGGTCGGCTTCGCCGTGCCCCTCACTCCTCCTCGTTTCCCCCTACCGCAGCGCCACTGCAGACCTTGCACATAGATGTCTGGGGCCCCGCCCCCGTCCATGGACCGCGTCGAGAGCGCTACTTCCTCGTGCTTGTCGACGACTTCACTCGCTACACCAAAGTCTTTCCCCTGGAGCGCAAGGCCGATGTGCCTGACGCTCTCATCCTCTGGCTTGTCTCTGCCCGTGTCCACCGCGGTCTCCCTGTCCTTCGTCTTCCCTCCGACCGTGGTGGCAAGTTTGCCTCAGGTGTCCTTGGTCGCTTCTGTCGTACGGAGGGCATCACCCAGACGTTCACTCTGCCGGACTCCCCACAGCAGAATGGGGTCGCTGAGCGACGCATCAGTTTGGTCATGGACATGGCTCGCACCTCCATGATCCATGCCGGTGCACCCCATTTTCTGTGGTCGTTCGCCGTGCGCTACGCTGCTCACCAGCTTAAGCTGTGGCCGCACCCCCGGCAGCCGCAGGTTTTGCCGACCCTTCTTTGGACCGGGTCTCCTGGTGACGCGTCTGCGTTCCACGTCTAGGGCTGCCTTGCTCACGTTCGTGCCTCTGGCACGGACAAGCTCACTGCCCGCACCCTTCCCTGCGTCTACCTAGGTTTCCCCCTTGACGCGTCCGACTAGCACTTCTACCACCCGCCGTCTCACCGGTTCTTTCACTCTCGCGACGTCACCTTTGACGAGTCCGTCTCCTTCTACCTTCGCTTCCCCCACCGCGGTCCCCCGGTTACTCCCCCCCTGTTCCTGGCCACTCCTTCCCCGGTGGTCCCTGCCCCCCCCTCTCCACCTCCCCGTCTTGCCCCCTCTGGTGTGTCCCACGTTACCCCTCTCCCGTAAGATTGTCCCGGTCAAGGAGTCCTCTGACTCTGGTGGTCCTGAGGCGCAGTCCTCGCCATCTGCCCCTCCCCCGGTGGCTCCCCCCCCACAGCCCCTGCTGTCGCAGCCGTCGTTCCCGCCACCGCCGCCGCCGTCACAGCAGCATTTCGTCAACCCTGGGGGTGCCTGCGTTGGGGTGGGTGCTAGTTTTGGGGTTCCTGTTGTGGCCTGCCCCGGGGGCCCTGGGGGTGGTACTGGTGCTCGAGGGGTTTCGGGCTTTGGGGGTGTTCCTTCTAGGGGTGCCAGAGTGGAGTGTCCCGGAGGTAGCCGAGGAGCAGCTTGCGGTCCCGGTGTTGGTGTTGTGCCGCCGCAGCAGTAGTCCCCGCCGGTGTTCGCCCTTCGCCTGCTCGGCCTTCCGTTCCCTGACCCTGCGTCTGGTCCTCTCCTGCCGTCTCCTCTTCCTGTCTACGGCCCTGTGTTCCCTCTGCCGGACTCGTCCCCGGCTCGTCTTCCCCCTCGCTCCCCCCTTGTGTCCCCTCTTCTGTCTCCTGACCCGACGCCTCCGTCTCACGTCTTGTCCCGCCGTCCCTCTCGTGCTCGTCCTGTCTCCCCTGTCACGCGCTCTCACCCTATGTTGCTTCGTTCCCACGCGTCTCGTCCTCCCTTTCTACCGTCGCCTCCTCCGTCCTCTCTTACCGATGCGCCTCCTCCTCTATCTGACTACCTTCGTGCCGCTCGTCCTCTTGTTCCTCGGGTCCTCGCCTCTCTCGTTACCGACCCGTCTGTTCCGGTCTCGTGTCTTGACGCTCTTGTCGCTGCGGTCGCTGACTTTGCCTCTACCCGCCGCCTTGACTACGCCACCGCTCTGGTCTCTGACCCTGCCTGTCCTCCGTCTGTCGGGGGTGCTCCTGCCCTCGGCAGTGACGTCCTGGAGGACCGCCAGTTCGAGCTTGCTTTCCTGTCCGAGGCTGCTCCCCATCTCTGCTCCATGCTGCTAGTCCTTGAGGGTGACCCAGACGCTTTCGACATCCCGACCCCTCGCACTTACGCTGAGGCGACCTCGCGACCCTGGACCTCCAAGTGGATAGCTGCCATGGAGCAGGAGATGGCATAATGGAGATCCACCGGCACCTTCGTCGACGCAGTTCCCCCGCCTGGGGTGAACGTAGTCGATGGCCGCTGGCTCTTCAAGGTGAAGCGCCCTCGTGGAGAGCCGCCTGTGTTCAAGGTGCGCTACGTGGCTAGAGGCTTCAGTCAGCGTGAGGGGGTGGACTTCTTCCAGACCTTCGCTCCGACCCCAAAGATGACTACTCTTTGGGTTCTGTTACACCTAGCTGCTCAGCGTGATTACGAGCTTCACTCCCTCGACTTCTCGACTGCCTTCCTTCAGGGCAGCCTACACGAGCAGGTCTACCTGCGTCGCCCTCCGGGCTTTACTGGCACCTTCCCTCCTGGGACCCAGTGGCTCCTGCGGCGTCCCGTCTACGGCCTGCGGCAAGCACCCCGTGAGTGGCACGCCACGCTGCGTGCTACACTTGCTGACCTGCAGTACATTCCGTCTTCCGCAGACCCCTCGCTCTTCGTTCGTGCTGGCCAGACTCCGTTCTACATCCTTGTTTACGTGGACGATCTGGTCTTTGCCACAGCACACAGGGACGCACTGGCCTCGGTGAAGGCAGAGTTGCTGAAGAGAGACACTTGCACTGACCTTGGAGAACTGCGCCGTTACCTTGGCTTGCAGATCTCCAGGGACAGAGCAGCGCACACCATCACCTTGACTCAGTCACACTTGGTGCGCCAGGTCTTTCAGAGGTTCGGTCTTCAGTTCTCTTCTGCATAGCCCACCCCTCTACCTGTAGACCACAGACTCTCCGCTCAGTTTCTGAGGAGTCAGTAGAGCCCACTGGCCCTTACGCAGAGCTGGTGGGTTGCCTTATGTACCTGATGACTTGCACTCACCCAGATCTCGCATACCCTCTCAGCATCCTAGCTTGCTTTGTGGCCACAGGTAGACACCGACCGCATCACTGGTCTGCCGCTAAGAGGGTTTT